ATATAGACAAGTAAGTAAGTAGACAAATAGGTAGGCAGCACAGGCGGAGGGTGAACCAACTCCAGGGTAAGCTAAAAGTAGCCTAATGCTATTGGCTACAAACATCATAAAACCGTCTTTTTAGGCAAGTACCATGTGTCATGTAGGCTAATAAAATATTTTAATAGGACTAAATTTGTATTTAACGAGATCAAAATGTAATAAAAAGATTGTAAGTGGCTAATTATAACGTTTTCATTTCCACAGAAAGCGAGCGAAGCACATGCACTAACTTCAATCTATCTATCTATTTTGAGAGTTTAACTCTCAAAAACAAAGAAACAAAAAAAAACTATCGTTATGATTAATTAAGCTGTCTACACTGTAAAATTAATCTCTTACATTGCATATACATCTGCACTTTGTTGTTTATAATGAGAGAATTCGCGAGAGTGCAGAATTCCGTCAGCAAGAGCGCACACTAAACAAACCTCTGGTGTTTCAGCGATGACTAATCTGAACGCCTCTGACTGGCCATTGCATTCATAAGCTTAACAGAATTGTGTGTGATTGGTTATAATGCAAGTAGACAAGTAGGGATGGATGGATGGATAAATAATTGATATCCACATATTTTAAGTGTGGATGAAGCGACCAAATGCTTTTTGGGACCACTGTATATTTTAATATAATTTAAACTCAAGAAATATGTTCAAAGCTCTCACAACATAATAATCGTATAGCTGATTGAAAGTAAATGGGAATTTACTTTCTTGAACATGTGCCACAAAATCAAAGAGAGAGAAAACAACTGAAACACAAAATGCAAAACCAAACAAAAATGATCTGATCAAGAGCTGCAGACTCCTGCAGGGACAAACCTCTGCTTTCTTCCAGTGTTTGATAAACAGGGATAACAGAGAGAATACAGGACGTTTTTGTACACTGTTGGAATTCACCCTGCAACTTGTGTGCACTTAAGACAGTCAGACCTAAAGATTAGATTAATGTGCAGTTTGAACAAAGTCTGTTTTTTTTTTCAAGAATTAATATAGGGGCACAGTAAACCAGCTAAACAAATAAAAAATAGCACCACATAACTAATAGACACATAACAATATAACATTTGCATCAAGAATAGTTCACCCATAAATAACAATTTGATGAAAATATACTCACTTTCATACCATCCAAGATTTAGATTAATTTGTTTCATCAGAACAGAGAAAAATGTAGCATTACATCACTTGTTCACCAATGGATCCTCTGCAGTGAATGGGTGCCGTCAGAATGAGAGTCCAAACAGCTGATAAAAACATCACAATAATCCACAAGTAACCCACACCACTCCAGTCCATCAATTAATGTTTTGTGAAGTGAAAAGTTGCATGTTTGAAAGAAACAAATCCATCAAGGCATTTTAACTTTAAACTGACGCTTCTGGTCAAAATACGAGTTATATATTAACACTTCCTGTCCTTTCACATCAAAACCCACCAACATACTTGTTTAGAACTGTTTTTGCTAAAACAGTGTTTGATCTGTGCATATTTCTCTCCTGGTTCAGATTAGATTACTTTTTGACTGGAGAAAGCAATATTATGGATAGAGGACTCATATTTTAGCTTGAAGTTAAGAAGTTAATAACATCTTAATGGTAGATTTGTTCATGACAAACACTTTCACTTCACAAGCTTTTAATTGAGTCATGTGGATTACTTGTGGATTATTGTGATGTTTTTATCAGCTGTTCTAACTCTCATTCTGATGGCACCCATTCATCGCAAGAGGATCCATTTTCATTTTTGGGTGAACTATTCCTTTAAAAAATCTGGGCCTGGGAAAAGTCCAGTTCCACTTTACTACAAAGTGTGAGTTTGACACTTGCTCCTTAAATAAACATGGTAATATTAAGAAAAATGACCATCCGCAGGATGAAAGAGTTACATTAGTTGTGGAGAGGTGAGAATAGAGACTGTACGATTAAACTGCAGTTCACATGTAACTGTCACACACTCAATATGGGGCATTTGAGCATTCAAGGGTGGATGACCACTCAAGTTGTGGGAATGTGTGTATTTTTGGGCTGGATAAGAGAATTTTATGGATAGAACAAATATGTCTAAATGGATAACATTTAATTTGTATGTGTATTTTTTAATAATATGATTGAATTTCCTTGTAGGGCACAGAAGTGTTGAACCAGTAACCTTCTTGTATGTAAAGCTGTTAGGAGGAGGGGTAACATGAGTCGTTTGAAGGGGTGAAAGTGTGAGCGTGGGGGATGTGGTCGTCCCAGTTGTCCTACACCTTTCTTTCAGATGAAGTTAGTGGCTAGGTGACATTACTCATTACCTTCTCATCAGGTATGCACTGGCGCACATTCTCCAGATAGCTGCGAATATCCTCTACGTTAGTGTAGCGCAGCAAGATTCGTGCAAAGTCCTCCTCGCTGATGGTGGTCATGCCTTTGGAATAGGTCAGGAACTCAATCTCTAACATCTCAGTTTGCAGATTATCCATGAATCTGAAAGAGCAATGACCGCAATAAAAGTCAGAGTGTAAAGAATTAAAAAAAAAAAAGGAATGTAAAATGTCAATGGTGTTTGCCCATGCAAAACTCGCCGCTATGTGCTAGGGTGTTGCTATGTTGTTGCTACTGTAGGGTTTATTCCAGGTGGTTTCTATGATGGCCCTATGTCTTTATAATATTAGAGTTTCTCAATATGGCTTTGTATGATATTCAATGTGCTTCATTTTCTACAAGAAAAATTGAAAAAATGTTGCACAACACGGCACAAATGTTTGATGTTTAACATGCATTTATGTGGACCAATGAAATTGCACTATAGGCGGGGCTACCCATTGCTACACCGCAGTAGAAAAAACAAAGTAATCAACAAAACATCCTGTCATTTGTATTGACTGGCTATGATAAATTTACCTTTTACATTTATACTACTGTTCAAAAGTTTGGGGTCTGTAAGACTTTTTTATATTTTTTATTTTTTTAAAGAAATTAACATTTTTATTCAGTAAGGATTTATTAAATTGAACAAAATAGTAAAACATTGGCAATGTTACAAAATATATTTTTTTATTATTATTACGAATATTATATGTTTTCAACATAATGAATGTTTCTTGAGCACCAAATCAGCATATTAGAATGATTCCTGAAGGATCATGTCAAACTGAAGACTGTAGTCTTATATTAAAATAAAAAAGTTATTTTAAATTGTATTCATATTTTACATTAATACTTTTTCTGTTGTATTTTGTAGCTGTAGTGAGCATAAGAGATGTCTTTAAAGACTTTTTCATTTTATCATGCCACATCCTGTTAGGACAAGCTGCTAACCGACTTCAGCATTTCCTTCTATACCTGCTTGATGGACATTAGTTCTCATGCATCCATCCTTGCCAAGTGAAGATGAATAAGTGGCATGTTTTTAGAGCTTTTTTTTAAGACTCAAGTTGTCATACCTGTAGAAGTCCTCAAACGTTAGCTCCGCCTTCCCCTTCTTGCCAAAGAAGTGCACAAGCAGAGTGGTGTCAATCATCATGTTGTCATCGGCACGCTGCGATTGGTGAGGAGAACGAGAAAGAAGAAACTATGACAAAAATCCTTCTGTCTGAATAAGAAATCAGTCCATCATAGGCTTGCGGAGCCATTCAGAGTACCAGCCATCCAGCGCCTGAAAGTGTGCATCCATTTATCTTTTCTCTCCTGAGCCTACAGAGGACATGTTCTGAGAAGACGTGCAGATCTTTATACCACTAGAATGGCATAAAGATTGTATATTAGACTGAAAAAGAAACACAACAAAGAGCAATGATACACAGAAATGCACACAAACATGCCAGTTGTGTACACATATACCCCCCTGTGTACATCTGGTATATTTAATTACCGCTGAATGTGGTTTAAAAGAGCCGTTCACTAAAATTTGTGAGGTTTGTAAGGACTGGACATGAATATCAGGTGTACACAGTGTCAAGCCAAAGGAAGTACAGGACAGACCAAGACATGACAACAAAAGACACATGGCATGCAATTCCACAACAAACTTTCACACAGCGTATCTGCAAGAGATTTGTGAAAAAATGCACACATGTAAGCAAATTCCACCTTTCCTTCTCAAGAATCTTCAGATTTTAAAGCTAATGTTCAAGATCAATTTGAGCGATCGTTCAAGTATCATGATTCCTTTTTTCAAGCATAGCATTAAAAAAACTGGAAGAAGGTGGCTGAAAGGTGCAAGGCCAGGTTAGGTGGTTGTTGTTGTTTTTTTCTTTTCTACCCATGCTTCACCCTCATCTGCAAGAAGAGCCTATCATGCTGAAACCAGGTAAAACCAGGCATAAACACTAAACAGCTCTTTTTCCCTGGTTATGGGCCTCTGTGCAATGAAGCGAGCCAGAATGCAAGTCCATGCCACTGCTGTACCTCTAGCTTAAAATCCTATCCATGGAGATACAATCAGTGGAAAGTTATAAAGAGAGAAGGAATGATTCCATTTCACTAGCCAGATCGACTCAGACACATATTGCAGATGTTTGGTGTTTTATCAACATAGTGTTATTATAAGAAAGAAAAAAAACTTTAAAACTCTTCTGAGATGCCAATGAACACAGGATGGAAATGTAAACTTTTGATCCCAAGAGTATGAAAGCCTGTTTCAAGGATAAAATAAAATAATAAAATAGTCACATCTGTGAGATTTAAAACATAATTGGGTTACACTTTATTTTGATAGTCCACTTTAGACATTCTATTAACTATAAGTAACTTTGTAACTACATGTCAACTACATGTCAACTAATTCTCATTAATTTGCAACTACATGTCTACTAACTCTCAGAGTAGACTGTTAGGGTAGGTTTAGGGTTAGTAGAATAAGTTGACAAAGAAAGTGTTAGAAGATATTAAGCAGACAGTCTACTAATACTCTACTAACTGCTAGTTGACATGTAGTTGCAAAGTTACTTACTTTTAATAGAATGTCTAAAGTGGACTATCGAAATAAAGTGTTACCCATAATTGTGATAAATAAAGCAAATGCATTTTTTGTTTCATTCATTTATAAACACAGGCTTCCATACAAGACAAGAGACTGTTCCAAAACCCACTGACCTGCCTAGACAGCATTTTAAAGCATTGTAGGCATGTTCTCAACTCAGAGACTGTTCCCAAACAAGGTTATAAAAGTATGCTGTCTTCGAAGATCCCTTATTTTAGCTAAATTCAAAGGCAGCATCGTATATATATATGTATATATATATATCCCCATACACTCTAAAAAATGCTGGGTTAAAAAGGGACAAACCCAGCTATTGGGTTGTATTGACCCATTTTTCAAGATGGTGGAGTCAAAAGGAAATTTATTATTATGAATATAAATATTTCATTCAACACTGAGAAGAATCGAAGAAAAAAAAAAAGCAGTTCCACCATATTGCAACTCTGTTGGAAACAACTGTAGACGAGTTAATGGTGAGGAACATTCACTCTAAAAAATGCTGGGTTAAATACAACCCAGTGCTGGGTAAAATAGGGACAAACCCAGCAGGTTGTTTTGACCCAGCGGTTGGGTTACTACCCAGAAGGTTGGGTTAAACATTTAACCCAACCGCTGGGTCAAAACAACCCAATTGCTGGGTTTGTCCCTATTTGTAGTATGTAACCCAGCATTTTTTAGAGTGTTATTAGTGTGATGCATCCAGTATATAAGTGTAGGTATGGACAGGGATGGATCAAGTCCAAACATCAACATTTTTTCTTGGTATTTTGTTAATGCGTTTTTGTATTCACCCTATTACTTTGTTCGCTGATGGTCATAAATATGGTGGGTGAGCATAAAAGTCATTTTGATAAATGAATCTTTCTTTTATCTAAAACATTTATAGCTGTTTTTTTTTCTTCACAATTTCGTCATCAATCTGCTGGAAGTGTGACATCACAACACTGTGGTTACAGGAAAAAATTAATGTGAGGTCATCATTCCATGTAACACTTCAGCCGGGCCCACAGTGGGACTTAGACATTGCCTGAAGCGTTTTACTCTTTGATCTAAAAACAGCGATAAAAACAGTGATTACTGCTGTCGACTTCTAAGATGAGTAACCCCAATCACACTTCCACACATGCTAGCATGCGCCCTTTAGCCCACAAACAAATACACAATGTCTGGTACCCTGCAGTTGTCAGCTCAGACAAACAGACCTGTCTAACTGCTGTGTCATCTGAGGAAGCCAAGCTGAAATTACCCTTTCAATGTAAATAACAGACTAAGTAAATACAGGGCATCTGCACACAGCTCTCCACAATCATTAAACTACTGCTTCCTACAGACGCCCTCTATTAGCCATTAGAACACAAACACACCATCAGGATGAGCAGACATATTCTGAATCGGTGTATAAACAAAGGCCTTTAAAGCAACACTATGTAACTTTTGGCGCTCTAGCGGTTAATAAACAGAACTGTACGCATCCCGCGGAAGAACATTCTAACCGGAGCTACTTCTCCAAGTTTATGTCTATGGCGATTCACGCGGGTATGTGTTACTCCGCAGCGGTGACGACCCGACCAGGCTACAATAGTCCAAATATAAGTACTTATTATAAGTGTACATGTAAATAACAGACTAAGTAAATACAGGGCATCTGCACACAGCTCTCCACAATCATTAAACTACTGCTTCCTACAGACGCCCTCTATTAGCCATTAGAACACAAACACACCATCAGGATGAGCAGACATATTCTGAATCGGTGTATAAACAAAGGCCTTTAAAGCAACACTATGTAACTTTTGGCGCTCTAGCGGTTAATAAACAGAACTGTACGCATCCCGCGGAAGAACATTCTAACCGGAGCTACTTCTCCAAGTTTATGTCTATGGCGATTCACGCGGGTATGTGTTACTCCGCAGCGGTGACGACCCGAACAGGCTACAATAGTCCGAATATAAGCACTTATTATAAGTGTACCGTAGTGATTCGGGATAAGGCAAAAAGGCAGTTTGGAAGTTACATAGTGCTGCTTTAATGTGCCTCACCGCTGAGAGCTTACAATATTAACTTGTTATTATTCACAGTCGATTAAACGCAAAGACTGCACATGCAAAATATTAGAAATCGATAAGCTGAAATGACAAAAACAATTAATGATGAAGTATTAACAAAGCCAGCAATTCTCTGCAAAATTCTCTGTAAAAAATCACATTAAACCTGAAATCTTTTTCTTGTTTCCCAGTAAACATCACAATCAAAACTTCCTTTTGAAATATAGTATATATTTACAAATTATACGCACATACACAAATAAAAATAAATTAAAAATATATAGTAATATAAAAAAAAAAATAAAAAAAATTAAATTAAAATTAAAATGAAATGGAACTTTTTAAAGGTAATTCAAAATTAAACTAAAATTAAAATGGAACAAAAATACATTTAATAATTAAACATATACACTCTTAGAAAAAACTTACAAAAGCTGTCACTGGGGCGGTACTTTTTTTTTGAAAGGTACACTTTTGTACCTTTTAGGTACTAATATGGACTCTTTAGGTACAAAGGTGTGCCTTTTGAAAAGGTACCACCCCAGTGACAGCTTTTGCACCTTTTTTTCTGAGAGTGTATATAAAAGTATATAATATATAGCATTATTAGGTAAAAATAATACTAAATTAACACTGCAGATACACACATACATATATGTATTTGTAATGCTATTTCTCGTAATTGCAATCTAATATTTCACATTTGTGACTATAATTTGCAGCTTTTTACCTCCCAATTAATTTTTTTATTTTTAACGCTGAGGCAGAAACACGATTTTAGAAAATACACTTCCATTCTTATAATCTAATAAATAAGACATTGACTGAAAGCAAGACATGTTTTTCTTATCAGATGAATTTATAACAACAAACATCTCTTGTTATCGTGCTTTTATTTATTTTGAATGAAGCATCAAAAACATATTTTCTAGCAGATCCAACAGTTGATAAAATACATAAGAAGAGGGATGAAACTGAAAAAGGGATGAAAAAAATAAAAATTAAATAAAAGGATATTCCTGGGTCATTAAATGACAATGATGTTAGGGTTAAGGTGGATATATAGGGTAAAAGGAGGAATGACAGTTATGATGTACCTTTTCCAGGTGAGAGCACTGTGTTAGGGATGGCTAGGGACGAATAAAAACATGGGATGAGACAGGAGGACAGAGGGCTATGGTTGTACCTCTGCCAGGTCAGAAAACAGGGCTTGGCTCGCGCCACGTCTCAGCATGTCCCAGTAGCTCCTGGGCACAAACTCCTGACTCTCTTTTTTTAGCACCTGCAGAGGGTTTAGCATGAGATGGAGAGCTGTTATCATGTTAGTTTCTATTGACATGGTTAATAAGAGGATGTGTCGGGTGGTCTCTCAGTCATTTTCTCAACCATGAAAAACATATGGCAAATTTAGCAACCTAAACCAATCAAATATACTGTATAAGGATTAATGTGAAGACTAGGAGGGGGAACTTGTTGATGTTAGCCAAATGCTAATTGTATGTGGTTATATGATGTGAGTGATTAATCATAAAAAAAAAAAAATCTGGGATATTATCCAAGACTGAAAGGTTTTATCAGCATATATTATTATACCAGATACAGAATCTTCTGTGAAATGGCTTATATATGCGTCATCACTGACTCACAAAATTTAGTTTTTACCATGACACAAAATGTTCATACCATGACATGAAATCTTGATTATGAATGTTCTGTAACTGCACAGCTATTTTTTAGATCCATATCATGTTACCATGTTCTTTCCAGACACTTTTGAACTAATAGTCGCTCAGACTATTATAAATACTGGCACAAGAAAGTTTTTTTTTTTTTGATGAAAAGTGGATTTTTTTTTCTTTTGATACACAGTAACCATGATATCAGCAGAATAATTGCTTCTGAACTGTTGAATAATTGAAAATGACTTCATATGCGCTTCACAATACGGCAGTACGTGCATTCAATAATTCAACGATTTGTTGTCAGTTATTCTGTACCTATTTATTGAATACAGAAGCTGAGAGACTAATACTGACACATCAGGATAAGGCAAACAGGAAATATATTTCTCTCATCAGTCTTGTGCTGTAAGGAGCCACTTTAATGGACAAAGGTCTTTCACTCTGTCTCTCTTTCTGTACCAGATTCACAGATATACAAAAGCGTTTGTGCATGAGTTGAATATGTGAAAGTGGATGAATGTGTTTTTGTGTGGACAGAATTGTTTTCAGTGTCATCAACCAAGGCTGCATTTATTTGAAGAAAACAATACAGCAAAAACAGTAATATTGTAAAATATTATTACAATTTAAAATATATATGTAATATATTTTTAAATAGAATTTATTACTGTGATTGTAAATCAGAAATTGAAGCATCATTGCTCCAGTCTTCAGTGTCACATGATCCTTCAGAAATCATTCTAATATGCTGATTTGGCCCTCAAGTAATATTTCTTATCATTATCAATGCTAAAAACAATAGAGCCATTTAATATCTTTTTGGAAACTGATACATTTTTATGATTCTTTGATGAATAGAAAGAACATTTATTTGAATTAGATTTTTTATGTAACATTATAAATGTATAAATGTAACATTTGATCAATTTAATGCATCCATGCTGAAAAAAAAAAAAAAAAAGTTTATTTTTTTTCTTCCTAATGACCTCAGACTGAATGGCAGTGTATAGAATTTATAGCATTTATCATCATTTATGTGGTCTTGAAAGAGTTTTAATCTCATTGCTGTCTAGAAGAAACATCTACATCTCAATTGTGATCTTTCTTTTCTTTTGGGTCAGTGAGCGAGAGAGATGTAATGTAAGTGATTTAACGTAAGTGAATGTGAAAGACTCAATAGAAAACACATTTTACACCAACAACTCCACCCACTCTTACCCAAACCTGTTCTTTATAGCCCACTGATGAAGTTTGTAACTGACACTTTGTGGTTAAAGAAACTGAAATCAATAAGAATCAAATTAGACTGATTGTGGCAAAACACCCACATGCTCTCTGACCTCTGAGGTCCACTCCACGTTTTCATTCAGTCATCTGCAGATCTCTCTCATTCACCCATCATTCCTTCCATGATTTCAAGATTCACACAGAGGTTATAGTTTACAGGTCAGAGAGCTGGGGGAGATACATACGCTGTTTACGGGGACAACCTGATATCCATAGAGCTGCATACTCTACACAGAGACGAGAGGAGAGGTCACAGCATGCGGAAGAGGAGAGGAAGGAGAGAAGAACATAAGAAGAGATGGACAAAGACAGGTTAAACATGCAAAGAGTAGAAAGTGGTTTAACCACAGGACAGCTGGCACACTTTCGCAAGCCTCCAAGAGGGGATGACGCAACTGGCTCCCTCTCAAGACAGCCCTTGATAAACTGGACATGTGAATGAGATAAAAAGTGTTATGCATCCGGGACAGGCAAAACAAATACAGATATAAGTCTAGAGGAAGTTTACAGTGTGTGGCCAATTGATGTTTTCAGGATATATATGGGATTTTGAGTATCCCACATATAACTAGACTTGAAGAAAATGTGAGTGATGCTTGCCTGTGCAAAACTCGCCGCCATGATGCTAGGCTGATGTGGCTGGTTGTCAAGGTGTTGTTTTATGGTTGCTAAGGTGTTAGGTGTTGGGTGCTAGGGTGTTGTTAAGAGGTGGCTTTCTGACCCAAGTCAAAAGAGCCCACCTCGAAATATTACTCCGGTCCCTTGTTCAGTGCACATCAATGGGATTTTTAAGCCAGTTTGTCATCAGGAAGTTAAAGCGGAAAATTGTAATTCTGATCAAAAGTAATAAATAGGGATGCACAATATATTCATGGTACCATATAAGAATATTTAGCAGAATATATATTCTTGCTATTCTTCAAATATATATATTTGTGTTTTTAAATCGATTAATCGCGAATATACTGTATATATATATATATATATATATGCTTTTAATCGCGATTAATCACATTCAAAATTAAAGTTTGTATTTACATAATATATGCGTGTGTACTGTGTATATTTAAGAAATATATATATATATATATATATTTATGATTTATATTATATATAT